CTTTGTAATGATCCATGTTGGGATGTATACAAAGGTGTATTCTTTTGAAAAAGTTTTCAATGTTTTTGAAAGTTGTTTTGAAAGTGTTATGGAGTGTGGTTTTGAAAAGTAGGCAAGTGTGTTTTTTGCAAGTTTATCAAATAACTAAGAGTTTATCTACCCCTAAATTTACTCAAAGATTTTTCCTATGTTTTAACCCTTTTAATAATTTTGTTCCACCATTGCATTTGATGGACAATCTTGTGTTAGGATGTTAACGGGACGGGCGCGGGTCATCGTTTAGACCATGATTGCAATAGTGCCAAGTGTCTTTGGCAATTTTTCTTTAAGGGACTTGATCATTTTTAGGCAACTTTGAAAGCGTCATCGAGGGACTATGATCATTTGAATTGTTTTTGTTTTGCCAAAGACACCGAACATGCAACATGACCCATTATTGAAGGCAACGAGTGGAGTAACCCTAGGGGTGCAAGTGTGATTGATGTTGTCCATTTTCATGCTTTTTTATCTTTGAATTAGGTCAAACTATTTGTTGTTTGATTTTTGCATACAAACCCTAAGTCTATCATGGCATATTTAGAAAGCTTTTAAATGCGAAAAAAAAATCCTAAATTATTACAACACAAATTATGGGATGGGGGGTACAAATGTTCAAATGGGAATATTTAGCAAGAAATTTAAATCTAAGCTATTACATCCAAATTGAATATACAAGTTAATTTAATTGTACAATAATTAAATAAAAATAAAATAAATATGCAAGATGCAAAAAATGATTTTTTATATGTATGTAAAAGCATTTTTCATGTGAATATAAACAAAAATAAAAAGGATTAATTTTTGGATATTTTTCATGTTTTAGGGCAAAACCCTAATTTTTATAAATAAAATGTATTTATTATTTACTATATACAAAATTTATTAACTATATACAAAAAATGAATAAAAGGGAAGTATATTGTAAAAAAGTAATTTTTGAGGTTAAATATTAATAAAAATAAAAATGTATTATTTTGTATTTTTATCCTAAATATTCTAATAAATATATAAGTATTTATATTATATATTAAATATATTAAATATACACAAAAATAAAAATATTTATTATTTACAAAAAAAAGAATATTTTTTAGAAAATATTTTCAAAAGATAAAATAAAATAAAATCAGAAAATAAAAATGTATTTGTATTATTTTTAATATTTTAAATAAAAGTGTATATATATTCACTTACATATAGAACTAAATGAAACAAATAAATACCAAATAAAATGCAAAAAATGTGAGAAAAATATTTTTAATGTTTTTTCATGTTTGGATAAAAATATAAAATCAAGATCAAAAAGAAAAAATCAAAAATGACAAATATATCACATAATGGGCCAGGGGGGTGCAAATTGAAAAGAGGGGTGCAAAAAGTAGGACTGACTCAGGCCCAGCCCAAGCCAGTCATCTTCAACCTCCAGACTTGTTTGAACAACAAAAACGCGCGTTTTCCTAACTCTTGATTCCTGGACTTTCAAGCAAAACTCATAACACCAAAAATGTAGAGCATCAAGAGACGAATCCAGACATATAAAAAACTTGACTTAACTCTAAGAAACGAGGGAGAATTTCTTCATCCCCAATTTCTGACCTAAGTTTTTTCTAATGTTCAGGTTCCAAATTCTCTTAACACACACAACATAAATGAAAAGTAATTATATGGGTAGCTTCAGGGCCATGAGTAGAGCATATTTCATTCATAAACCTAAGCCTAACTCTTCCTAGATTGAGAGATAGAAGTCCATATTTTTACCTGTTTCAGCTTGAGTCGTGTACAGCAATGGAGGTATCTTCAATGGAGTTTGAGGACTTGTACAGCTTGCTTGAAGTTCAGGGATGCTTCTCCAACCTCTAGCTTGCTTTGAAACTAACTGAATCGGGCTATAGAAGTCAACCTGCAAAACAGAAAAAGTGAAAATGGCAAGTTTGGTTAGGGGTGTTACAGTCTGTATCTAAGGCTTGGGATAGCTTCAATGGATGATAGGGAGTGTGTTTGAACAAGCTTTGGCCAAAACGCACGAGCAAACTGAGTTGTGCAACTCAATCTGCAGGGATGCCCTGTTTTGTGCAGCAAAATGGTGTTTTGATGTTTGGGGAGGTATTGAAGGTGGTTGGCTCGTGTTTCAGGTCAGTTGGATCAAGTGAAAAGTGTTTTCAAGGTTTGCTTTAGCTCTTGCTTGCAGGAATGAGAGTTGTGTTTCAATATGCAAAGTTTCTTCTATCATAAGCAAAGTTTATCAAGTTGGGTTATAGGCTCATACAGGCCCCTCAAGCATGCTGCACAAATCACTCTTGATCAGTGGAATTGGTTCCTGAACTTGTGCCCAAAAGATCTGCCTTGGTACTTCTTAGATTTGTGTTTGACATAAAGTTGATCTTTACAAGAATAGATAAGTTACTTTTTCTAATTATGGATTAAACTTCCATGTAATGACCAAATGAGCAAAATAATGCTAGAACACAATGGATTGGCATTTAATTATTGAGTGTAAGAAGGATTAGAGGCCTGTAATCTATCTTGTACAAGCTGATTTCAAAAATGCCTAAGTTATGAACATGCATTTGGTCAAGAACAAAAGTGGATTTTGCCCAACTTTGTCAATTCGATTCTCCCTAACCACAAGGGTGTTTGAGAAGTTCTTGGACAATTTGGAAAGATTGGAATGTGTAATACAATCCATCTTTGTAATGCAAGTTGAAATTCCAAGTGGAAGCATGTGAAAAATGGCCATGAAGTTAGGCAAAAATCCTGCCTAGAATAGGTCAAAATATTTCTAAGTTAAGAATGTTTTGCACCCCTATTCCAAAAATCATAACTTGAGCTACAAGCTTCTTTTGAGGAAACTTTGTGAATCAAAGTTGTAGATTTTGCAATGGATTATAATTTTCATGTTTTGAGTTTAGCTTGAATCCATTTGCATCTTGATGAAAAAATGGGACAAAGTTAAGAAAAAATTAGGAAATTTCATAACTTAGAAAAATTCTAAGTTATGAAATTTCTTCATTTCAAACCCTAATTTGTGATTTTTGATTTCTTGATGGACAAGTTTCATAATTTGACATGTTTTGATGAAAAATGAATCTTGACACTTGATTTTGACCAAAAAGTCAAAGTTTGACTTTTCAGTATACAGTCAAATTTTGATCAGTTGATTGGAAAATTCATCTGTCAATCTTGTGCATTTGGGATCTTTTGAACTTGTTGAACATGTCAAGACAATGCCATTGAGTCCTTGAGTCTATATGTGAGCTTGATTTGCCATTGACTAGGTCAAACAGTCAAAAATTGCCTTTGTGCAGTCAAAACCCTAAAAATGACCATTTTGCCCTTTTGGTGATTTGATCAAATTTCTTGTGGGATTGTGATCCAAACTTGATCAAATGGTCCATATGAATTCATAATGTTGATGTGGGTCAAAAATCATGAGGTTTGACTGTCAATTGACCACAGTTGACTTTTTCCCCAATACAACTGATTTCTAGGTCAACTGTCCAATTGACTAGGCAAAGATTTGAATCAAGGCTTGAAACTTGGTATGGATAAACTTGTGAGTCCAATATGAAGCATGAAAGTCACTTTGGGCATTCTAGGTCAAAATATCTTTGTGCAAACTCAAACCCTAATTTGGGTCAACAGTGCAAGGAGGAGTCTTGAGCAGAGCAAACCCTAGCTTGATCTTGAACTTCAAGGGTCTTGTGGTGAGAAAATATTGATGACATGGGAGGGAAAATTTTGGGATACAACACAAAACATTTAAACTCCAAAAATCAACCATGTCTTAGGATCAATCTGATCGATCCTGCGACTCACCAAATAAGTAACATTTTGGAAGATCAGCGATTGTTTACCATTTTTCACGGCAAACACTCACCTTCTAACAAACTTGGTGAGTCATACTAGGAATATTATTAGCATTTCTTCTTAGTTTCTCTTTCTATCCCCTTTCTTTACTTTTGACATGACATAGTCTTTGAAGTACTTAGACTTATTGCAAATCCTCTTGGGCCTCGGTTTAAGGGTTGTAGTTGTTTCTTCTTTCTCACTAAAGTCACCCTCATCATTCTGCTCTTCTTCATCCCAGTGATTCATAACAAAGTATCTAGAGAGATTTTGTGAAAAAATCTAAAAAAGAAAAATATTAGAATTGCGTATACTCGAGCTATCTAAGATCTGTATGAAAGAATATTGACTAGTATGTGGACACAAGGTGGAGAGATAGACGATTCTCTATTACAATTAGTTTGCGTCAAGGTTCAACTCTAAGTTTCTACCATTTTATCTTAATTTTGGATGTATTCACGAAACACATTCAAGATCTGCCTCGAGATGCATGTTTTTTACCGATGATATAGTCCTACTTAAAAAGTGGAAGGAGGATTTAAATGAGAGATTAGAGACTTGGAGACGAGCTTTAGAAACTCATAGTTTTTACCTAAACAGAAGTAAAATAGAGTATATGAAATGTAAATTCAACAGAAGAAGAATAGTTTATAACATATAGGTGAAAGTTAGAGACAATATCATCTCAAATTACACGATTTAATATCTTCGATATGTAATATTAAATAATAGAGAAATTATATATAAACTATCAAATTCAAATTGTGTTGCAAAAATGAAGAAGGACTTCAGGTATTTAATGTGACAAAGATATCACTCAAGCGGAAGGAAATTTTTTACCAAAATGTGGTAAAACCTGTATGTGAAAGAATGTTGGACGATTAAAAATCAACATAAGAATAAAATAAGTGTATCAGATATTAAAATATTGTGGTAGATATAAAAATAATCCTGTAATATGATAATACACCATGGGCAAATGAGTTGAATGACATGAAAGATTGGTGATTGTTTATTGAACCACTACATTCATGTAAGATTATCATTTTCCTTTTAATTAGTTTGAGTTGTTGAAAATTCCTCATTTAAGATTAAAATAAAAAAATAAAAAAAAACTAGCTTGATAGTGAAGCCCACATTCTAACTGTCCTGAGACATGGCTCCACAAGAGAAGATCCCGGTTGTGATAGTGTATACTTCGCCAGTTCTTTTTTATATGCTTCCTTTTGAGTGCAAAAGAAATGCATATAAAAAGTAAATGTAAAATCGAAAACACAACAAAATGCAGCATGTGGGAAGTACAAAATAACCAGAGAATCAGTTATCATTCATAACAGCATATGAACTTTTTTGTCATAGTCAATAATGTCATCTTGATTATCTTGATGGTAGGATTAAAAACTCCTGTCACAGACTATATTTCTAATGTTGGAACTGTACAAATCACAAATAAATAGGAGAAACTGGTGTAAGCTATTTCTTGAACATCAATGGAAAGAAAAAAAATCAACTATGAGGAGAGGAAGAAAGAATTTACACAAAAAATGAATTTACTTTTCATGATTGTCTTCATTAGAATCTATCTTAATTATGAGTGGCTGGTTAATATCTGATGATTGTTCAGAAACAATTGGTAACTCCGGTGAGGATGTTACCCCGTCGATATCTTCGTTTTCGGCCAAGGCTTTATCCAATGCAGACTTTGCAACTTTAGTAACACATATCATAAGAACCACTGCACATAACCCAAAATAATGCAGTTTAGAGTGCAGAGCCTATTAATTAAAACATATAAAATGACGAACATGAAAAACAATGCAACTTACCCGATATTACGAGACCGATAATGATAAATGCCTGCATTGACAAGAGAACGAAAATAAGCATAAGACAAACTACAGTGCCTCAAAGACATTAAGATAAGTAATTTATGATAGTATCTCATACCCAACGAGTTTTGGAGAATTCACTCCAACCATGTGTTACATCCGAAAGATCTTTAAGAGTTGTTCCGACATATACAAGTGCAAGTGTTATTGGCTGCAATAGAAACAGTATCAAGCATTAACATATTGCAGTAATCAATATAGCATTCAAAGGTTTCAAGATCATCACTAAGCCCATATGCATTTTTGGCAAGAAAAAGCTAGCAAGAGAGTGTGATTGCTAGAAGAAATTCAATCAGGTCTACACGACATAGAAATCATAAAGCACGATGGAAATATATAATTGCTCAAGGGAGAAGAGGATACCATCATTCCTAACCAGGAAGCCAGCATGTATTCCACAAGTGAAACAGGAGTCACCGACAAGAGATAATTTAGCATGTTAAACGGTAGCAGCGGAACAAGGCGAAGCAGTAATACTATCTGTAAGGACAATGAAAAAGGAAGTTTTCAAAGAAAAAAAAAAATCAGATGATAAAAAATAACCAGTAGGAATAGACTTGTTAAGTAATGACAATGAAGTCACAAAATAGACTCAATAATTTCACAGTATTAATCAAATAGAAGCCTACAAACCTTAAATCCAGATCTCCGAATTGCAATTGCCACTGACTTAAATTGAGGATAATCCTTCAACCTAGAAACAACAAATGGTCTTCCAATCTGTAAAATTTAACAAAGATATCAATAAGTTATCTCACATGACACAAATAACTATACCATTATATACAATAACATGAATCATAATGAATCCCAATTGAAATGAAAAGAAGATAGCAAAATCAGGTTATGAAGAAAGATCACCCTGTTGGAATAAAAAACAACCTACCCATCATTTAGTTATTCGGCAGCAAGTAGTGGACCAAAAACTTTGTATATTTTGACAAAAAGTTGTAAATGTAAAACTTGAAAACTTACTGTTCTACCGAGAAGAAATGCAGCTCCTGCACCAACGGTTGCACCAATAGAGTCGGCAACAAAGCCCACTGGAAGCCCAAAAAGATAACCACCACCAAGCTGAAAAAGGAATATATTGGAACAAGTAAAGAGACTGATCTAACAGGTATTGTGAGAGAGATGGAAAATAATAGCATGAAGCAAGTAGAAGGGTGAACTAAAAATAAGAATCACATCCAAAAAGTCATATCATGAAGAAAATCACAAAAATATAGTGAATAATTTGTAAGCATGGGGAAATTATCTCCCTGATTACTTATTTTGCTCACATTGTTGATGCATGCTTCCTTTATCCCAAGTTACAAACTGAAGAGAGATATCAAAGCTCAACCATTGAAGAGAATGATTGACTTTATAGAACTTATAGTTAATACTAGGAATGGTAGATGTGTTCATTCATGTTGTGCAACGACCATCCTCTTCAATAGAACTACTCATCCGTTCCTGCTCTGTTCTCATTATTATTCAACCAGAGACTCATGCTTTATTGGAACCAGGCATCTGATAAAGCACATTTGGCATCTGAATCCTAATTGATATTGAGTTCCGTGTGATAAGAACCAGGCATTATTGAAACAAGTACGTTTTCGGATCAATTGAGAATTTAGAAATGTCAGCGGTGTATTTCAGGACTGATAAGTGTTATTGTCAGTCACAGTTGCTGTTTATTTTTCATATTTCCTTTGACAATTTTACGGGGCCAAAGAAGTCTGTCAGAGGCCAGGGAACATGAACAGGGAGAAACTGTAAGTTCACAATAATAGAGGACGGGGAAGAATAGAGGCAGTGAGCAGGTAGATGATTCCCACCCTCACCTTGGAAGGGTGCCAGATCTCAGCAACATGATGTTAGACCATTATTAGTAAACATTCCAAGAAACGGCCTAGAGGTTCAAATGGAATGGTCTGAACCAATTACAGTTATTATGTTATTAGCCAGCAGGTAAGTTATTAAACAGTTATTGAATAAATAGAGAAATATTTATTTGGATCGGATAGTTATTGGGTGGTTACGAGAGGGAGAGACCAAGCACCCTAATTCTTGGATAGGAATTTCCTTGCAAGAGTAGACTATCTCTTTCCTTAGGTTATGTGTAATTTCCTAATTTGTAGTATTGTAAGAACTCGTAGTCAGTTCTGTGATAACAGTCTAGAGATTGTTATAAATAAATTGTTGTGTTTAGTGTTTACAAATTTTATCATTATAGATATCAGTTTCTGACACATGAATCATGATAACCCGTGATGAATTCAATTTATGAATTCAAAAATGCATAAAGATGATACAATCATCTGACGATCCTAAGCAAAGTTGCATGCAGATATATTGCTAGTATTTGAGTGAAGAATATCATTTCACAAAAAATAAACAACTTTTGCAAGAAATGACAGGGTAACAATAGCTCTTAGTTCTTACAGTAAGAACCGAAGCTGGAACTGCCAGGACAGTCAAAGGAATGTAAGCAACAGCCCTGAAAATCGCCAAAAAAATATCGAGTTATGAATTGTGCCAACTGATACATGTAAGCCACAGCACTACAATTAAGATTTAAGACCAACATGTTACACTTCTGCTATACTTTTTGCAAAAAAAGAAAATCTACAAAAGAGATTTCCAAATATGGTACAAAACTATCAAGCACCAACACCTGTGACAAAGGGACCTCATCCAATGTTGTAAATTGCATATAGCAGAAGATAGCAATTTGTTCAAATTCCGCTCCACTAGAGAGCCACAGCACCACAATAGCCACTATAAAAAGATACTTTGTACTAAATAGCTAATAGCATAACAATAGAAACTTGTTCAAATCAGTGTTGTCAATGGCGGAGAGCCAATATCGGCCAATATTTACCATTGCGGCAAGTTCAAATACTGTCATGTAGATCTGCCATGGCACAGATATTCAATAACACTGGTTCAAATTCCACTACACAATAGCATTTTACCACTGCCACAGCCACTATTCTGACAACAACGATATGATCTAAGGAACACTCAACTCAACATTCATAGAAATCAATAACTTTAAGCATACATCAACATTTCAGGTATTTCACTAGTAAGTCCAAAAGGTAATGAAGTTCTTCTACGACACAAACTTATTTAATAAGCTTAGCAAAAAAGAATAGCTCCCAATTGAAGATTGAATCACTAGACTTATCAATAGAAATAAGATATAACATGAAAACAAAAAAGTCATCCTTCACCTAGCCAGCTTAACAACATCAAAAATGGCATAGCTTTTCAGCACTACCAAAAAACCTAAATGATGTTAACTATAACAATCTTTATATGGACCACATTTCAACACATTTCAAACCTCTAGCAACACATTTCAACACATTTCAAACCTCTAGCAACGCATTTCAACTAACTTACAAAACAAGTGGACCCCATCGCCCAAGATCACGATCAACCCATATTAAGAAGTCCTTCATCATCTGCATAACAAAATCATATTTCAAACCAAGAAACGCAAATCAAATTAAGGGCAACGCATAGATGAAAATCCAACAATATACACAATCAACAACCCTTAGAATTAACAATTCAACCTACAAATTTGAAAAGACCCAGAAACGAAATCGAGTACAAGGGGGAAAAGGGTGAGCGAAAAAAGAAACCTTTTCAATAGGAAGAGTGAAACAAGCGGCAATAACAGCAGCAAGAAGGAGAAGGAGAAGAGTGATCCTGAAGGCAGAAGCCCAGGAAAAAGCCATGGTGATTCGCCGACGCCAAGGTCTACACTCCTCGTCGTCGTCGTTCAAACCAAGGGAAGGTTGCTTCAACGAAGAACGAGCCCTCAATCCTCCAAGATTTGCCAGGTTTGAGATTTTCTATAAATATTTGTTTTCTTAAATACAGTGATTTTGGTTGTTGTTTCTGAGTTTTAGGCCATGAAATTGATTTGGGTTTTTTAGGGATTTGAAATTGTTGCAGAAAGATGAAATTTTGATGGGAAGAGCGTTTCGGAGAAGAAGAAGAGGAAGCAGATCGGAAAAGGATGGTTTTGTAATTTCCTTACGCGTTGTTTCCACTCTAACATGTGCTTTCAACCGACATACTTGGAATGAAGATTGGATTTGATTGAGATAACATTAATCACTTTAAGAAAATTGCAAACTTGGCTATGGTATTAAGTAATCACAAAACACATGATTAAAGTTAATTGAGCATATTTTTACTTTAAAATATTAATTTTTTAACTGTTTTGTACCACCCGCAAAAATGAAGGAAGCGAATGCGATAAATAAATGTCTCTTTATTCTCATCTAAAATAGATAATTTTATTTTGTGATGCATTATTTGTTGCCCATTTCAATTAGATTGTAGTATGGGTATATGGTTTTAACCGCTCTAAATATATAAAGAGAAAAACGTGATATTCTTAAGTATTCAAATTCAATATCACTCTAACATCACTTTGACTATCTCATTGACTTTGGCGTTAGAGTACTAATCATGTACATCCATTCCTCGGACGCGTTGACGTATCAAAAATTCAGTGCACATTCTCATTATCCATTTCACCGATTCAACAACAATTCTAGTTTCAAATTGGAACAATGGTGCCGTCTATGAGAATGGACTTCCGATTTTCACGAAAATCATTGTCTCTTTCTTGGAGATTCATATCTCAAATTCTCGTCATTGTAGTGTTGACCTATTTCGTTGAAGCTCGAAATAGACTCTTTAAGACTATTGAATAACCAATTGTGGCTGACATTATTACCATAGCTCAACCATTTCCTACAAAAGTTGAAAATTGAGTTCTTGTAACCTCTCCATCTAATCTAACGCTGTAAGATTTTGCTCCTTCGCGAATTCTCTAAGGATCAATCCAAGGTGAATCGTCAAATTGTCCTCCCTTATAACACTTAGCACTTTGACAAGAGGCTCTTCCCAATCTTCAGTTGTTGTAATCTAGTCATGCAAAGAGCCATTGATATGCTGAATAATGTGTATGACTTGATCCATTAGCAGAATTATTCACTACTACAAAAAACATCTTTAACCTAGAAGGTGAAATGCATTTAATTTCGGCTACAAAAGTGAGGTAACAAAGAGCGCCATAAAAAGTTGTCACTTTACCCCTCGGTTAATAAAAAATTGAGTGGTTAAGTTATCTGCACATGGGTCTGAACCCCAGCATCAACATTTTTATTATTTTCAAAACTAGTGTATCATACCTCTCAGTTTATCAATAAAATCGAGGGGTGAGATAAAAAAATTTATAAAAAAATCATTACATTTTTACACAAAATATTAATAAATTAATTTGTTTATAAACTACATTGTTTACACAAAAATTAAAGTAAAAATTCATTTCCCTGAACATCTATTTTAGATCTTCGAATCATTGAATTTTAGAGAAGAACAAATGTTGGGTGCAAGATATTTCCAATTGCTTTTGTTTGCATTTGTTTACGAAATTAAATAATAAAAAAAGTTAGATAAATAAATGATTGTATGCTGAAATAAACATTTAAGAACACAAAGCTTAAACCCAAATCATTTTCTACTCTTGCAATCCATCATAGAGAACTTTTTATGACAAATAATCTTGTAAACCTTAAAGTGGTGAATGTAAATAGTTTCAAGCGCTTCGTGATGCTTCATTATCAATTTTTTATATTCAGAATAATTTTATAATGAAAGTTTTTTATGTTTCACGCGGATCACTAATGGTAGTTATTGAGCATTGAGAATCATGTAATTGGCGATAAAGATTTGTTTAAGGACGATGATCAATATCCTCAAAAATCACGCTAAATTATCCCCTCGATTTTGACAAAAAACTGAGATAAAATATGTTTACCCCTCGATTTTAAAAGAAAACCGAGGTAAATAAGCTTTTTTTTAACATTACATTGGTTACGCGGAATATTAAAACACATTGATTACAACAAATACAAATTCATCATCTTCTCTATTATTCTTGGAGAACAACAAATCTTTGTTGTAATCCAGACTTTATTGCATATCTTGTATGCATCCAACTTCTAATCTTTTCAAAGGTTGTACTCCTTCTTTGTTTAACTTGAAGCAAAGATTTCATTATCTTGAACAAATGTTTTCACAAGAAAGAGAATAAAATATATAGTGATGGATGTAATAGTTTGTTGTGGATTGATGTCTTGGCAATATTCTGAGTGTTGTTCCTTTATGAATGTAGGTTAGAGATTCATCCTCGGTTTTGTTAAAAAAATCAAGAAAAAGTATTTTCATTTTCATATAAAATAAAAAAAATAAGTAAGGAAACCTCTATGTTTTAGTAAAAAACCGAGGTAATAAGTTTGAAGCAAAAAATGATAAATGATAAAGAATTGAAATTAACGATCATGTTTTCATTTTAATTTTTTACCAGACACCATTTTTTATGTGCAATTTACAACTTGTTTAAGAATAAATTTCTCAATATTTTCAACCAAAGAAAGCAATGTTGTTTTTCTTGATTGACAACATAAGAAGGGTATTTCAAAAATACAACAACAACAACATCAACACCATTATGTGAGACAAATTGCAAGGACAGAAAAAATATTTTGTTCAGGATAGAAGAACACAAAACATTGAATATTTTTTATCTTGCAATCAATCCCAATGAATGATGCATATGAGTTTGGGGAGGTTACATATAAGTTAGGATTAAGATAAAATTTGTTTAACAAGTGCTTTTATAGTAAAATCTGATTATTTTATCCCTCAGTTGTTACGGAAATCGAAGAAATATCATTTAGTTTACACTTATAAGTAATAAAAACATAAATTGCAATAGTTGGGATTTGAAGCATGTCATAAATTGTTGTTCCCCTCGGTTATATTAAAAAACGAGGGATTATGTGGTCTTTATTTTTTTTAATAAAAAAATGGTGCGCCTTGGCATTATACCTCTTTTTTTTGCTGAGGTGAAAGTTTTATCATGAAATGTATTATTTGTAGTTGTGCTTACGTTCTAATTAATAAGATCTTGAGAAATGAAGAGAACTTGTGATTTGCTCCTCCAAGAAATAACATCATACGAGGGGTGGCCTTGCATTGTGAATTGACTGTCACTGTAGAGTTGATCCCGGCTAGAATGATCACATTACATGAAGAAGCTCCAAGGTGCTCGTGCATACACCAAAGTGGGAAGCATCGGTCTCCTACGTATGACTTCAAGGGAAGAAAAGCATATCCCAACTGAAGTTCACCACCCTCGAAGAAGGGAAAGGCTCAAAGTTGACGGACAGACTTTAGAGAGACAAGGAACATGCTATCTGCATATATCCTTAAGAGAAGAGTGCCAAGATTCTAGGGAGAAGCCTTCAAAGTTGTTTAACTATGATAGATCGGGGAATCCCACTGAGAAGGTTGAGCATATGGATAAGAGGCTAGACTAGTATCAAGCTGAAGGGGGTACAAAATCCTTTACTATGAGTTGTTATGACATGGTACAAACTCCTCTTTGCACTAACCGTTACTAGAGCTGTCATGACATGGTACATAATCCTTTCTAACATGACCATCAACTCGTGGAAATACTTGTGTGACACCTATACTACCCAATTCATCACTCGTAAGAGGCACCCAACAACCATCGCGGTCTTCAACTGAATCATAAAAGGATGGAGCCCTACGTGGGCAAATAGACTGATTCACAAAGGTGACTATAATGATAGGAGGCACAAACAAAGGGCTGAAATATTGGATATTCAATAAGGTCATGAGACGACACTGCATGTTTTGAGAAAAATTAGGGTTTGAGGGTGCATATATTTTTAGAAATCTACTAAATAAGGCACAATTTACATGAATTGGAAAAAAGAGATCTTAGCCGAGGATAGCAAGAAAAAATGGGGAAATGGAGGTGTCGGCTATAACAAAGCTCTAAAGAGGGACAACAATAGTCGAAGGGACGACGATGGGCGAGGATCTTAGCAAGGCCTCCATCCTACACTCCTTTGAACACTTTAAGGGAGGAGATTTGACAAGAATATGCTAACACTAATTTCAATAAAGGGGCCTAACCCAATACCCAATTCATATATGACACTTCAGTTTGAGTGAGATAAAATGACCACCCGCTACAATAACGGAGCAGTTTGGACAAACACACTAATTTTTGGGTTGGGTTGGATTGGATAGTGGATTGTCCAGATAATTTTTCTATTTTATTAATATCAAATGACTAAATGATGAGTCATGATATTTTTTCATAAAAATTATTCAACATTTTTATCTTCTTAAAAAAATTAGATAACTTATTTTTACTATTTTTTAGCATTATAAAATAATAAATGATAACATCAACTAATAAAAATTATCATAAAATACTAACAACAAACTAAAGTTATATGATATAAAATCGTATTAGCATCAAAATAACGAAAGAGTGAAATATTCAAAATTAGTTAAAATCATGATTCGCTAAAATAATAAATATTCAAAAAACTAAAATTGCAACAACTAAATTAATATTCATCGTTATGAATAAATGTAAATTATGAATATTTAATCTTTGTCTCATAACCTCCTCCTCCTACCAAATGTTGATCAATTGTATTTATCATTTTAATTTGACCATTTGTGTCCTATAAATAGGACATATGCTACATTGTAAAGCAACAATTGAAGAGTGTTGGAAATCCACCAAATATTTATGATGAATTTCTACCAATTTCGATGAACAAGATTGATATCACCATACAATTACAATGAATTATGAGAAAAGAAAAGA